CAGACTGATTGACAGATGGAGGGCTTCACTATATCCCTACCGAATTTCGTTCATTAAGATAATGAATGGTGTACACAGATACAGTCACTGTTATCTACTATTTTCAATGTTCCTTGCCAAATCAGATAAAATTAGTGAAAGATAACATGTCAAAATAAAAATGGTATTTTGGTAATCAGTGGTAAAATATGATATTTTTGACAAATTTTCACTTAACCATAGCATACGGTGTTTAAGCCTTGAGATACGGCGCCATATGCAATGAATTATGGATTTTTGCTACTTCAGACTCAAAACGAGGCTAAGTGTCAACATCGCCGGATCGTTTGGAAAATTCGAATTAAATCACTTAAACCTGCACATCGCTCCAAAACGCAATCTTGGGTTGTTTCGGGGGTGAACTTTATCATTTTGAGCTTAATGAAAGATTATAGAATGATGAACAAATGGGGCAAATCTTGTGTAGAAATACTTAGGATAAATGTGTCATTTCAAAGATTATTCATTGAATTGCTTCGATCGGCGCCGACGATATGATTTTGGAAAGGGTTCTAAATGAATAACGTGACGTCACTTCCGAATCATAGCATTCAAAATAAGTAGCGTTTAATTACCTGCACCTGTTATAAAGACACGGTGGTCAAGGGGTACAATTATCGCTTAGCACGCGGGAGGCCCGGGTTCGAATCCCGCATTTGCTTTTTTATTTTTTTTTAACTAAATGATTGTTCTTTGATATAACGCAGAAAAAAACAATTTTTATTTACATAAACTTTATATTAGAGCTTAAAAATGTAAAAACAATATATGTCAACATATTGCGTTTTGGAGCAATGTGCAGGTTTAATTTCCGACGATTCTGATGATGACTTCTATGGAATAAAAAGAACATCCTATGATTTACTCGTGATATGATTTTAATCCACTCATGGATATTGATATCCACACTCTCTCGTTACGCTCGCTCGTGCAGATATCATATCCATTCATGGATAAAAATCATATGACTCATAAATAATAGGATATTCTCTATATATTCAATGTCATCATGTCAAAATATCGTATTTTTGTAATCAGGGGTAAAATATGATGTTTTGACATATTTTCACTAAACCATCAAATACGACCATAGAATACGGCGCCATATCATATGGAATATGGATTTTCACTACTTGACTCAAAACAAGGATGACAGGTATGGCCGAGTATTCCGAGAAATTTGAGTTAAATATAATATTTTAATTTCAGGTGATTTTGAAGAATCTTATGATGAATAATCACAATCGTTGATGACAATAAACTGTTAACTATTTACTTTTGACTGATCTATTCATTTATTTAGTTGTAAAATATTGTGTGTTAGCGTATAACGGTTTTTATAAAAGTGTTAACATGATATTTACACATTGTTATCTTTTTCTTGTGGATAATTAGAGTTGAAGAACTTGACAAGTACACTTTATAACTATGAAAAGAGAACATCCTATGTATACAATTTTTCTCATGGTATTATTCTAATCCACTCATGATCATTGATATGTATCCATGAGCTACTGAAGTGTATCTGTTCGTGGATAAAAATCATATCACTCATAAATCATAGGATATCAATATCAGGAGTGAGGGAGGATATATGAAATATCAAGTTGCATATACATGTACATCAACCTCAGTGCTTGGTGATGACCAAAGACCTAATTGGTCATGGACTTAAACAAATTGATTTTGCACTATGTCAAATCAATATCAGATCCTGTCAAATTGAAGCAAATCAAACGAGGACTGTTCCTAAGTGATTTTTGTCACACTATGTAACAAACAATGCTAGAATATTCACATTGGACAGTTTTGACAGTTTGACAGCTCCCCCAAAAGTCAGTCCTTTCTAGGAAATCTGACAAGTTTCCATTTTCTAATATTCTAAGACATCAAAAACTTATGCTTTAAATAATAATAAATAAAGAAGAAGAATAATGATTGTATCATATATGTAGAATTTTTTAATATAATCGAAAACTTTTTTCTGAGAGTCATTTCATGAGAAAATTGCTAAAGTTTTAGTTAAGGTATAATGAAAATATCATAAATCTTCTGAGCAAAGTCAACTAGGCTAAAAGGCTAGTTGGTTCACAGGAGCTTTATCCAGAATATAATGGCTTATGTCATACTTAATCAAACCAGAAACTAAGCTGACCAAACATTTTGATGGATTTAGGCTCTTGAACCCTTAGCAGCTGGAATATACATTTGACCAATTTTACCAAAGACCAACAGTTTAATTTGAAGAAAATTGAATTTCATATAAATAAATAATATATTTAAAACTATGCTTCATCAGATAAGTGATTTAAATATATCATACTTTTTAATGAAAGATAATAAATGAAATGTTAGAAAAACAAATCGATATCTTTTACTAAGGGCTAATCCCCAAAACATATCTTGAATTCAAGTGCCCACTTCACATAACTTCATTATCCTCATGTAACTGAATTTCAAAAACATATAAATCTCATTTTTCAAGTGGATCATGGGGTTATCTGCTAAACTCCTTCAGAATGACATGTTTTCCCTCTACTCTAATGCTACTTTCTCTGCATCAATTTGCTTGACATTTATTGACTCTATGAAATAACAAAACACATGCAAAAAGTAGTCACAGCACATAACAATGGTAACACATAGGATATATTCCAACAGAACCATTATTTTAAAACACTTATCCAAGGTTCTAAAATACTGAATATTTCATGAGATGAAAAGGCACACGCATGATTGTATCATTATTGCAATTGTTTATATGAGATAAAAGGCACATACATGACTGTATCATTATTGCAATTGTTTATATGAGGTAAAAGGCACATGCATGATTGTATCATTATTGCAATTGTTTATATATATGAGATGAAAAGGCACATACATGACTGTATCATTATTGCAATTGTTTATATATGAGGTAAAAGGCACATGCATGATTGTATCATTATTGCAATTGTTTATATGAGATGAAAAGGCACATGCATTATTGTATCATTATTGCAATTGTTTATATGAGATGAAAAGGCACATGCATGATTGTATCATTATTGCAATTGTTTATATGAGATGAAAAGGCACATGCATGATTCTATCATTATTGCAATTGTTTTGATGAGATAAAAAGGCACAAGCATGATTATATAATTATTGCAATTGTTTATATGAGATGAAAAGGTACATGCATGATTGTATCATTATTACAATTACATTATTAAAAGTTCCAAGAAGAACTGAAATCATTATAATACGAGAACACTAATTTTACGAAAACGTTACTTTAATTCATGTCATCAAAGGCTATATGGATAGAGCATGTAGGTAAAATGTCTTGTACAACCACAAAACAACCCAAACAGAAAGAATGAGGGGAAAAGCCCATCAAGCAATAACCTTATCAGTCAAAAGAGCATGCCATGAAAACTTTCAACCTGGCCCATATTATTAAGCACATTCACTCTTTTCAACTTCATATAGTTATAATACAGATATCATAATGCCCATTGGTAACAGGGGTAGCAAACATTCTGATTTATCAGTCCCTCTTGGACTGCTTATAAAAGAATGTAGGGGCTCCCAAACCCACAATGGCTAGATTATCTCAAATTGATTAATAACAGTGCTCTGTTGGAAAGTCTCAACTGTATATTCTATTAAGGTTTCAATCCTTGTAATTTTATCAAGGACATGTTCTTGATGTGGCTATTTCACTAGCTCTATGCATCATCACATTGTCTCTCCAAATGAACAAACAAACAATTTATATCCTATAACTTATTACAGTTGAACCAATGAAGATATGGGTAGCAACATATAGGGGTCTCTGAAGAGTTGTGACTGTGCTGTGAGGTAATGCTCATTAGTGAAATGACTCAACTTAACAAACTAGGAGTTGATTAATTAGGGCTTTGACAAGGGGGGTTCAGTTTTCCACAAAACTCTAAGCAGAGTAACATAATCCTTGCATAATTTATGCAATTAACGATGGCTAATTGTTTAATTATTTGATGTAAATAATAGCCAAGCTTAATGATCAAATAACACCACAATTGAAACATTTTCTTAGATTTCTATTAACTGTTGGCTGAAACACATTTTATGTCTATTTATGTACTGAGTTAATGTGCAAACCACTGAACAATGTTATTGGAAAAAGTTGGTTAAGTAACAAGGCTAGGGTTCCAGTCAATTTCATCAATAATAGATCATGAAGTAGCCAAAACAAATTATTAATTGAAACCTAGTAGTCATGAGACATTAATAATTGACATTTTGTCTGTTAAATGTATAAGAACTAAAAATTAATAACAAACAAATCAGTATGTCCTATTGTCAGTACTAAAACTGACATACTTAAAGTTGAGATTTTTATATTGAGTGCTTTTGTAAATTTTGCTGACAGGAACCTAGAAAAGCGCAGATATATAACCTTTCATGTTATGTAGGTGTCCTGGGTTTTAAAATGTTCAATAAAGCAATAGGATTCATACAGAAACATAACATGTGCTGTGACATTCTGGACAATGTAAGAAGGCAATTATGTTTAATTTATAATTTTTTGAAGTATGCCTCCCATTGACAAACAATGTACATTGATGTACATCACAAGCCAATGTCCTTGCAATACATTCAGATTCTCTAATTTTTTCTAATTATTTCCCATCAATGAAATTCTAATTCTAATAAAATGTGATAGTTTTCTTACATTGAGATAGGAAGTTCTTATTTTTTTCATGTAGAATAAGTTTTTGTTTGAGCATTTTGGTTTTATCCAGCAAGGGATTTGGACAAATAAAACTATCTCAGCTTGATGTCTATTTGAACTTGAATATAGCAACATAGACTAAAATATAACTAATAAAAACCCAACTTAATTCAAATCCAATTGTTTAGATTAATATAAACAAAAGGAGCCCAGAAATCCAGATGAGAGTCTTGATAGATCAAACAGATTTAAACATCCCCTTTGGTCTATATTTATATTCAATTTTCTATGTGTTTCAATAGGTATCATTCAAGCATGTGTGCACCCTTTGAAAGAAAAACATACAATATTGAAGAGCTCTTTATAAAGCACTCACCTGTAGTTAAGCGCAATATAAGGCTCCATAGCGTAACCAGCGATATAAAGTCTCCGGGTGTCCTCATATCCTGTCCTGTGGGTGATCCTTGGGGTGATCCTTACCCCTGTGGTGTTCCTGTCTCAGCTGCATACATCAGTCATATGTTTCCTAATGTTTTTGGTTCAGTTTACATTGCATGTTAAAGTTTGCTAGCCTGCTACTGATTCGGCTCCATTTGCATAAAAACTTCACTGATTAGGCCGATAACTCTCTAAGCCCTGATTGGCTAAGCTTTAACCTGAATATGACTTTTGGAGTGTACTATTTACTTTCCTAAATCATGCTCACAAAGTTGAGAGACTCCCAGTCTTACTAGGCAATCAATCAGTAACTAATGTCTTTATCCATATCTGCCTCTATATTCCCTTGCAAAAAGTTAGCATCTCACAATTTTCAACCTCTGCCATATTAATATATGTTATTTATATCTCCTCCTGCTAAAATTTAAGTTATATCCAAGAAGTTTAGAAATCCAGGAAAATAATTTGTAAAATCCAAATCTTTGAATATTGCAGAGAAAGATTGGTAATGTCTTTATCCATCTGCATTAGTCCCACCATATAGCAATCAGGTTACCTGAAACAGATTAGGGTTGTCTATAAGGACTGGAGTTCATATAATTAAACCTGCATTAACTGCTTCTTCTCTTCCTTGACAGATAACAATATCTGATAATGCTTTCATTGATGTCTTATTCTTAGTGTTGGACAATGTGTCCAATGATAATTTTGTGGTAAAGGAAGATGATTTTAACTATTGTGTAGATTCGGAAATCCTTGATTATTTTTAACAACTTGTCAGAGCTTAGCACATTGTAGAATGAGCTCTCTTTAAATTCCACGCGTAAAGAAGCAAAATCAAACTATTGCATAGTGTATGATTCATAATAATTCATGCAACAAGATTGAATCTTGGGTGAAGAAGAAAGTAAAATAAGCACATCTTTCTCCTAAGATCAATCAGTCATATTGTAAACAATTCAAACTTTACAAAGGATTACACCTAAGAATCATGCTCAAAGAAACAAACAAGACATAAACCCAGGATGGAGAGAGGGTGAAACAAGTCATATACCCAGGTTGGGAGAAGGTGAAACAAGTCATATGCCCATGATGACGGAAGGGTGAATAAAGTCATATACCCAGGTTGGGAGAAGGTGAAACAAGTCATATGCCCATGATGACGGAAGGGTGAAACAAGTCATATGCCCAGGATGTGGGGAGGGTGAATCAAGCCATATGCCAAGGATGTGGGGAGGGTGAAACAAGTCATATGCCAAGGATGTGGGGAGGATGAAACAAGTCATATGCCAAGGATGTGGGGAGGGTGAAAAAGTCATATGCCAAGGATGTGGGGAGGGTGAATCAAGCCATATGCCCAGGATGGGGGAGGGTGAAACAAGTCATATGCCAAGGATGTGGGGAGGGTGAAACAAGTCATATGCCAAGGATGTGGGGAGGATGAAACAAGTCATATGCCAAGGATGTGGGGAGGGTGAATCAAGTCATATGCCAAGGATGTGGGGAGGGTGAATCAAGCCATATGCCAAGGATGTGGGGAGGTGATCAAGCCATATGCCAAGGATGTGGGGAGGATGAAATAAGTCATATGCCAAGGATGTGGGGAGGATGAAACATGTCATATGCCCAGGATGTGGGGAGGGTGAATCAAGCCATATGCCAAGGATGTGGGGAGGGTGAAACAAGTCATATGCCAAGGATGTGGGGAGGGTGAAACAAGTCATATGCCAAGGATGTGGGGAGGATGAAACAAGTCATATGCCAAGGATGTGGGGAGGGTGAATCAAGTCATATGCCAAGGATGTAGGGACAGTGAAACAAGTCATATGCTAAGGATGTGGGGAGGGTGAATCAAGTCATATGCCCAGGATGTGGGGAGGGTGAATCAAGTCATATGCCCAGGATGTGGGGAGGGTGAATCAAGCCATATGCCAAGGATGTGGGGAGGGTGAAACAAGTCATATGCCAAGGATGTGGGGAGGGTGAAACAAGTCATATGCCAAGGATGTGGGGAGGATGAAACAAGTCATATGCCAAGGATGTGAGGAGGGTGAATCAAGTCATATGCCCAGGATGTGGGGAGGGTGAAACAAGTCATATGCCAAGGATGTGGGGAGGGTGAATCAAGCCATATGCCAAGGATGTGGGGAGGATGAAACAAGTCATATGCCAAGGATGTGGGAAGGGTGAATCAAGTCATATGCCCAGGATGTGGGGATGGTGAATCAAGTCATATGCCCAGGATGAGGGGAGGTGAATCAAGTCATATGCCAAGGATGTGGGGAGGGTGAATCAAGCCATATGCCAAGGATGTGGGGAGGGTGAATCAAGTCATATGCCCAGGATGTGGGGAGGGTGAAACAAGTCATATGCCAAGGATGTGGGGAGGATGAAACAAGTCATATGCCAAGGATGTGGGGAGGGTGAATCAAGTCATATGCCAAGGATGTGGGGAGGATGAAACAAGTCATATGCCAAGGATGTGGGGAGGGTGAATAAAGTCATATGCCCAGGATGAGGGGAGGTGAATCAAGTCATATGCCCAGGATGTGGGGAGGATGAAACAAGTCATATGCCAAGGATGTGGGGAGGGTGAATCAAGTCATATGCCCAGGATGTGGGGAGGGTGAAACAAGTCATATGCCAAGGATGTGGGGAGGATGAAACAAGTCATATGCCAAGGATGTGGGGAGGGTGAATCAAGTCATATGCCAAGGATGTGGGGAGGTGAATCAAGTCATATGCCAAGGATGTGGGGAGGGTGAAACAAGTCATATGCCAAGGATGTGGGGAGGGTGAATCAAGTCATATGCCCAGGATGGGAGGGGGTGAAACAATTTATATGCCTAAGATGGGGGGAGGGTGAATCAAGTCATGTGCCAAGGATGTGGGGAGGATGAAACAAGTCATATGCCAAGGATGTGGGGAGGGTGAAACAAGTCATATGCCCAGGATGTGGGGACGGTGAAACAAGTCATATGCCCAGGATGTGGGGAGGGTGAATCAAGTCATATGCCCAGGATGTGGGGAGGATGAAACAAGCCATATGCCAAGGATGTGGGGAGGATGAAACAAGTCATATGCCAAGGATGTGGGGAGGGTGAAACAAGTCATATGCCCAGGATGTGGGGAGGGTGAAACAAGTCATATGCCCAGGATGAGGGGATGGTGAATCAAGTCATATGCCCAGGATGAGGGGAGGTGAATCAAGTCATATGCCAAGGATGTGGGGAGGGTGAATCAAGCCATATGCCAAGGATGTGGGGAGGGTGAATCAAGTCATATGCCCAGGATGTGGGGAGGGTGAAACAAGTCATATGCCAAGGATGTGGGGAGGATGAAACAAGTCATATGCCAAGGATGTGGGGAGGGTGAATCAAGTCATATGCCAAGGATGTGGGGAGGATGAAACAAGTCATATGCCAAGGATGTGGGGAGGGTGAATAAAGTCATATGCCCAGGATGAGGGGAGGTGAATCAAGTCATATGCCCAGGATGTGGGGAGGATGAAACAAGTCATATGCCAAGGATGTGGGGAGGGTGAATCAAGTCATATGCCCAGGATGTGGGGAGGGTGAAACAAGTCATATGCCAAGGATGTGGGGAGGATGAAACAAGTCATATGCCAAGGATGTGGGGAGGGTGAATCAAGTCATATGCCAAGGATGTGGGGAGGTGAATCAAGTCATATGCCAAGGATGTGGGGAGGGTGAAACAAGTCATATGCCAAGGATGTGGGGAGGGTGAATCAAGTCATATGCCCAGGATGGGAGGGGGTGAAACAATTTATATGCCTAAGATGGGGGGAGGGTGAATCAAGTCATGTGCCAAGGATGTTGGGAGGATGAAACAAGTCATATGCCAAGGATGTGGGGAGGGTGAAACAAGTCATATGCCCAGGATGTGGGGACGGTGAAACAAGTCATATGCCAAGGATGTGGGGAGGGTGAATCAAGCCATATGCCAAGGATGTGGGGAGGATGAAACAAGTCATATGCCGAGGATGTGGGGAGGGTGAATCAAGCCATATGCCAAGGATGTGGGGAGGATGAAACAAGTCATATGCCCAGGATGTGGGGAGGGTGAATCAAGTCATATGCCCAGGATGTGGGGAGGATGAAACAAGCCATATGCCAAGGATGTGGGGAGGATGAAACAAGTCATATGCCAAGGATGTGGGGAGGGTGAAACAAGTCATATGCCCAGGATGTGGGGAGGGTGAAACAAGTCATATGCCCAGGATGAGGGGATGGTGAATCAAGTCATATGCCCAGGATGTGGGGAGGGTGAATCAAGCCATATGCCAAGGATGTGGGGAGGGTGAAACAAGTCATATGCCAAGGATGTGGGGAGGGTGAATCAAGTCATATGCCAAGGATGTAGGGACAGTGAAACAAGTCATATGCCCAGGATGAGGGGAGGTGAATCAAGTCATATGCCAAGGATGTGGGGAGGGTGAATCAAGCCATATGCCAAGGATGTGGGGAGGATGAAACAAGTCATATGCCGAGGATGTGGGGAGGGTGAATCAAGCCATATGCCAAGGATGTGGGGAGGATGAAACAAGTCATATGCCAAGGATGTGGGAAGGGTGAAACAAGTCATATGCCAAGGATGTCGGGAGGTGAATCAAGTCATATGGCCAGGATGAGGGGAGGTGAATCAAGTCATATGCAAAGGATGTGGGGAGGGTGAATCAAGCCATATGCCAAGGATGTGGGGAGGATGAAACAAGTCATATGCCGAGGATGTGGGGAGGGTGAATCAAGCCATATGCCAAGGATGTGGGAAGGGTGAAACAAGTCATATGCCAAGGATGTGGGAAGGGTGAAACAAGTCATATGCCAAGGATGTCGGGAGGTGAATCAAGTCATATGGCCAGGATGTGGGGAGGATGAAACAAGTCATATGCCAAGGATGTGGGGAGGTGAATCAAGTCATATGCCAAGGATGTGGGGAGGTGAATCAAGTCATATGCCCAGGATGTGGGGAGGGTGAATCAAGCCATATACCAAGGATGTGGGGACTTTGTGGGACTTTGCGGAACACACGAATTAGCCTAATTTTGATCAAATTTTTTTCCTTCCCAAAAATAAACATTATAACAATTAAATTAAGTAGTAAGGTACAATTAAATGCTATAAAAAGTAACAAAGCGTATTGTCAAATGGAAATAAAGCTAGGGGAAGTAATATATATGCAAATCAATTTACACCATCGGCCATTTTGAATGGCACTTCTCATGTAAACGAATAATTTTCAGTCCCAGATTTTAACATATGTGGGCTTTTGTCTGAATATTTTCATTCCAAATTTCAATTTCAAAAAAATTTCAGACTAGAGGATATAGTCTAATATAGCACCCAAGGGTGCGATAAAGTTATTAAAATAATTATACAAAAACTTTCTCCTTTGTGATATTACTTTCATAATAACAAAAAATCCTTGTGTGAAAAATATCATCATTGAATCATTCCATTAGATGCTTCCATAGAACCACAATACTAAATGTAAGGCTTAATAATGATGCCTATCTGAGTATCTGAAGCATGTTAGACAAATAATATTAATTGAAAAAATTGCATTACTCACTATGTTTGGCTGTAGGCAGATGACTGCAGTTGCCTTGACAGATCCAATTAGAGACAAGACACAGGTGTAGTATTTCCACTTTCAATAAGTTCACTGAAATAACACACAAGAGTCTAACTTGGAAAGTCCCTGGAATAAAATCACAATGATTGTTCTATGATAACTGCATTAAATCAATATTGACAATGATCATAACATTGTGTTTTATGATGTCTATAAATCTGAGATCAGGCTCCAGACACTTTTGTAATATTTATAAGTAATTTGTTCCAGCAACACCAGTCATATAAATAGAATTATTCTCGGGCTTAGTTCTTAACCTTGTTGGCATAGAGACAATGCATTAGAAAAAATCTTTTGAATCCTTTATTTTTACTACCAAAAATATTGTAAAACATGCCTAATTTATGGATGTAACTTTCATAATTTTGGTATCCATTGAATTACAACTGTAAGAATTCAATGCAGTACTGTGCAAGTAATTAATAAAGTTGGAGAAAATAACAATAATATGTCACCACTTCTGGTGTGTGGTGGTGACATAAAATTATGACATAAATACCACTGGACATTTACATTTGCACCATGGTTGCACATAGTATTAAAACAAGACACAGAGTGAACATGATCGCACCCTTGAATAGAATACAGTTTTCAGGACAGCAAATTCAAAATGGCCACCCTAACATATACCCAAAATCTCATCAGTTCTGAACTTTCACATGTTGAAATATCCCTAAAATGTTCAGATGAATCCATGAAAAAGTTTGACTGGAAATCTGTAGATAAGCCTCGACAAACAAGATTTTAGGATGGAAAATTTAAAAATGACTGCCTAAGCATTTTCCCAGAATGCCCAAAAACTATCCTGTTCTTAACTTTCATACCTAGAAACATAACTAAAACTTTCAAATGAATCCATGGAACGGTTTGGCTGTAAACGACAAACAAGAGTTTAGGACGAAAAGTCCATAATGGCCTGCTTAACATTTACCCAGAATGCCCAAAAACTAATCAGTTCTAATGTTTCATACGTAGAAACATCCCTAAAAATTTCAGATGAATCCATGCGACAGTTTGGCTGGAAACCTGTAAAGAAGCCTTGACAGACAAGATTTTCCAAAATCCAAAATGGCGACATTTACATTTACCCAGAATGCCCAAAAACTAATCACTTAACCTAAACAGTTTGCTTGGAAATCTGTAGACAAGCCTCGACAGACAAGATTTCAGGACAAAAAATCCCAAATTACCACCTTAAAATTTACCCACAATGCCCCAAACTATTCAGTTCTAATGTTTCATACGTAGAAACATCCCTGAAAATTTAAGATGAATCCAAACAACAGTTTGGCTGGAACTGTAGACAAGCCTAGACAGACAAGATTCTATGACAGAAAATGCCCGAGAACTTTAATCTGTAGAAACATCCATGAAAATTTCAGATGAATCTCTGTAACAGTTTGGCTTGAAACCTGTAGACAAGATTTAATCAGGACAATATAGCACCCGAGGGTTATTCTTTTTGGAGGGGTGGAGGGGGGTTGCTAGGCTACGCCCATGCATGTTAACATAAATTACATGAGATTATTAAAACTTCTGACATTATCTCATGAAACTACTTCCAACAGTGACTTGGGTTTTACAATGCATGACACCTAAAATTATTGATTAAGCTACTAAACAATCAAAAACTAAATTTCCATCAACAAAAATGGTGGCCATTTTGAAAATAAGTGAGTTTTTGAACCACAAATCATCTGTATTGATAATGAACCAAAAAAAAACTTAAAACGACAGAAGCCATTAATTGTTGACAGACAGACAGACATACAGACAAGTGAGTGATTGCAATAGCTCACCATACGAGCTAATAAAAACAGTGGTTGTGATGTTGAAGTACTGACTTCACATTCTGGATCAGTTTTAATGAAATGCATTAGTCATTACTTCAAATCAGGAAAACCTGTGATGACATCAGCAATTAATTTTAACAATAGTTTGATATTTCATACTTTGATGGCAATTCACTTTAGCTATAACAATCACGATCAATTGACATGCATGCAATCTAGGAAATCTTTTTGTCATTAACATATTTGCTGTTAAGCCAAATAAAGAAATTTAAGTCAGATTGATGAAATCTTGGTTGACAAGTCAATTGAACTAATGCATATTTTGAATTAATCAAAAACAGATTATAGAAGATGCCTGGATAGTGCAGGTGTATTTGTCACAAAAAATTAATTCAAAGCAGTTAAAATATACATATGCATTTTTTCTGATGATGTAATTAAATAACAACATGATATAACATGATCATCTCTATTAATATTGGTGTTTTCATAAGGAAAGAAACATGTATAATATGTGAGTAAAGACACACAGGGAGAGGATATCAAATCCCGTTGAAGACTCATACACATTACTGACCATTGTAAGAGCGTTTTTGCATTAATCACATTATTCATGTATCAGATCTTGTGAAACTTGAATTTAAAAAAACTATGGAAACAATGACAATGAAATGAAACAATGCCAAAACAGAGTTTAACATTTCCTTTACAAAGGAAATTCTTGATGATAGAAGCTGTAACTGATAACTATAAATCATGCAAAATAACATATCAACAACTTTTCAGAAGAGTACAAGCTTGGTGATTTCAGTGACATCTATTCAAAGGATAGGTATCGATATGGAGAACTGAATTCAACAATGTTTTTCTCTTAAACCAATCACTGAAAACATTCTGTAAAGAAACATGGTATATTATGTAATGTTGACTGATTGACAACACTTTAATGCGGAAATTATTTAGAAATATTTTATGTAACTGTTTTTGTTACCATTTTGTTTTAGTGCAATTGTTTTTACTCCTTTCTACCAATTCTTGAGAATGAAATAAAATGTCTTTCCAAACAAAATTCCCCCAAAATAGATAAAAATCAAGAAAAACCTTTTATTTCATTAACAAGATACTTTTTTTAAATCAACCAAAATTTCCTTTGTACAATTACAATATTGAGAGACCTAAACATGTTGTGTTTTTGTCGTTTTGTTCCAATGAGGTTCGGAAAGATGTTTCATTTCACTCTGGAAACATGATACCAAGAACAAAACAAGTCTTTGATGTGTTTTTAAAACAATATAGATGAAAGTATGTATATCTATTTCAAATTATATTGTTACCATTCAAAAGATGGCCATTAAATTGACAATTTGTAAGATTTTCAGAATTTTTTGATGACTGGTTTAAGAGAAACGTGTGTTCAAAAGGTTCGCCATATCGATACCCATTCTTTAAAATACAAACCCCTGATCCCCTACCACTACTTGACTACATACCATCTCATAATAGTTAGGTTAGGAGGTGTGTTGCAGGAGGGGTCATAAGGGATTGTAACAAGAAATTACCTGGCATCATAAAAGATCAAGAATAACATATTATGGAGGTATTGGGAGACCATTCCAAAGCCAATAAACTGTATGCTTCTGATCTGTAGGTTATAAGAATAACCATGTTATCCATGAATGAACATGCAGACACATTGATAAATATCAATTCTCTACTTGACAGCAGTTACTAGCCCAGGAAATATATCTTCAATCGAAATAAATTTGCATAAAGTAATCTACATATATTTATGATACAGCAACAACAAATTAATTCTTATAAAATATATTTCAACATCAGTTTCAATTAATCCTTTTTACATTTATTATTCAATAACAAACAATTCCAAATTCATACTTTTTCTCACAATATTAAAAGCCATTTCTTCATTATCATGTTTAATATCTTTGATATATATATTGATATGTTTCATTGTTTGCCTCAATTTACTGGAAAAATGAATTTCAAAAATGTAGCTTGATCAATAGAACAAAAAAATGTGTAAAGTACATGACTTATATAGTCTAACATGATTGAAACAATTTAATATCTTTACAAAGAATACATAGAAATTCTAGCCTCCACTATTTGGTAAAGATACAAATACATTAGTCAAGCTACAACACCTAGTGGCGCCCCCACTGTTCATCCCGATAAGGTCTAGTAACATGATATGAATTATTATATTGCATGGTATATAGGGAAGGCATTACCTCCAGTGGCATGGTTATATAAGTAGAAAAAGCTTAATGAGGGTGAGCCATGAATAGCAAACAGATGATTCCCTCCTAATTGATTCAAGTGTTGCATTCATGCTTACTTTTGTAATTTAAATTGAGCAATACATGTAGTTAAAAAAGAAATATTTTAAACAGTAAAAAGTTGACTTTATACCTCCACTAGTTTACTTAGAGTGTGTACCAACCACCAGGCCCGTAGCCAGGATTTGCCAATGGGGGTTCACTTTTTGAAAAATTCCAGGGGGAATTCACTTGTATAATTTTGGTCCAAAAATGGCCAAAATCACCTACAAAGTGCTCAGAATGGTGAAAACTGCATGATTTTGAAAGAATTTTTTGGCCAAGGGGGGTTTGCTCAAACGCATTGAATCCCCTTGGCTATGGGTCTGAACTACCGATAACTAGACCCTGTGTGAGAAGGTGTGTAGTAAGGGGGGGGGGGGGTCACAGGGGCTTGTAGCTAGACTACAAATACATCTACAGTATTCATTATTTTTACATGCATTGATAAATGTGAGAATGTACATGCACACTATGCACTTTACAAAAAATTCAATCAGAGTTGCCGACATTTGCTTGGCAGAATCCAATTCATTGAGCATTGATAAATAAACAAGTACATGTAAACTCACTTTTGTATGCAATGAACACATCATCATTTATCTCATATCAACTTGAGTAGAACACAAATGGACAATCTACAATGATTAGTTGTATCATAGAAAGATTTGGTGATAGAATAAAATATTTTTTCGAAAATCTAAATTGAAATCTTATTCAGCATCATTCCACACATAATATACAATTAAATAAAACATTATAATGTACAATTAAATAAAACATTATAATGTACAATTAAATAAAACATTATAATGTACAATTAAATAAAACATTATAATGTACAATTAAATAAAACATTATAATGTACAATTAAAGAAAACATTATAATGTACAATTAAAGAAAACATTATAATGTACAATTAAAGAAAACCTTATAATGTACAATTAAATAAAACATTATGATGTACAATTAAAGAAAACATTATAATGTACAATTAAATAAAACATTATAATGTACAATTAAGTAAAACATTACAATGTACAATTAAATAAAACATTATAATGTACAATTAAATAAAACATTATAATGTACAATTAAAGAAAGCATTATAATGTACAATTAAAGAAAACATTATAATGTACAATTAAATAAAACATTATAATGCACAACTAAGTAAAACATTACAATGTACAATTAAATAAAACATTATAATGTACAATTAAATAAAACATTATAATGTACAATTAAAGAAAACATTATAATGTACAATTAAATAAAACATTATAATGCACAACTAAGTAAAACATTACAATGTACAATTAAATAAAACATTATAATGTACAATTAAGTAAAACATTATAATGTACAATTAAATAAAACATTATAATGTACAATTAAGTAAAACATTATAATGTACAATTACTAGTAAATAAAACATTGCAGCTCATTCAATTTTTGCAAAGCATTGTTCTCATCTTCTCATCCATTTTGCATCCCCACCATAAACAGCATAACTATTCTTACTCGTCCTATCAGTCTCATTCAAATTTTTATTTTCCTCAAATGTGACCTGTCTCACAGTTCGAGGCCTGCCTCGTGAGACTCGGCCTTGACCTTGGTTGCGTGACCGTGAGGAAGAAGATCTCCCAGGCTGGGGGCGTTTATCTGAGTGAAGCCCTTCATTATGCATCCATTCCAGCCCTGGTGATACTTCCCCCCTATGGCCACCAGGAGATACTGTGTTGCGTTCCATTGAAACTTTAAGTCCGGATCCTGAATTACGATTTCTCCAACATTGAGATTGATTATGATGACCCCTGATGTCTCTTTGATAATCTCTGTGTGCGTTTCTGTTGTGATGATGGTTGTTGTGGTGATATTGATTTGAGGGATTATTATATCGAGAATGTGGACTTTGTCGTTCATTCTGATTTTCGTTGCTTGATTTTGATGTGTGACTTGAATATTCAGTGCCAGCAGTAATTCTCTCAATATTATCACTTCTGCTATTTGTTCCTGATGAAGTAGATGATCTGTAATTACTCCTTTCATCAGTGTGCTGCATGTAACCGTGATGCTGACTTTCATTTGAATTTGTTTGTTGAGTCCTGTATTTTGTATGTGGCCTGTCATGATTATCTTCAGTTTTGTGGAACCCTTTCTCTGGAGTTTGCATGCCTTTATTACTAGTATGTGGGGTTTCTAAATCCCTCTGCAAATTGCCCCCTGGTCCACTGAAAGCTCGCCTATATCGTGGACTTATATTAGGATCTTCCACAATGGCATCTGGAATATCAATCTCTTTGATGTGATTTTCACTCCAGCTTCTCCTATAGCCCTCATTCTGTGGTGACCTTGACCCACCTTGTAAAGGAGATTCATTCCTTTTATCTTGTGATTGACTTGTTCCTCGCTCACGTCCCCTGGGTCTTCCTCTCCCCCTTCCCCTCCCCCTGATTCGTCCACTCCCCTGCCTCTGAAGTCTACCTTCAGGGTCACTACTGTGACTATCGGAACTATTAGGACTCTCAAGTTGCTCTCTCCTTTGACTCTGAACTTTCCCTTTAGAATAAGCAGGGCTTCTTGGGCCTTTAGTGTTACTGTCCCTTCTTGATGGTGATTGGCGATTTTTATTCTGTGTGGCCTTATTGAGGTTCATTCTATTTGAGTGTGATTTACTCTGACAATTCTGTACTGGCACTTTGGAAGAATGGCTTGGCGAAATCTCATGTTTACATTTACTACAAACATCAGCATATGTGACACTTTTAACATTTCCACTATCATTACTTGAAAAACTTTCTGACTTTGGCACATCTTCGTCTGATTCTAAAGAAAAAGATGGTGTTGATGTTGAAATAGAAGTGGTGTCAACTTTTTGTTTCCTGGACTCTATTTGTGCAGTGGAGGCAGTTGATGTGTTGTCTGTATGAAGAGTGGCATGGAATGTCATTGCAGGGCTAGAAACACTATGGGATAGGCCTGTTGGAGACTTTGATAAACCAGATGTAGCCGCTTTCTGAAAATAAAAGCAACCCACACATGTAAAATATTGACATACTGTATATTAATCAATACAAGCCATTACCTATTAAAAAGTAAACTCATCCCAAAGGGCAATGGAAATGATTTCACAGACAAGATTTCAAATGTGAAAGAGCCACCTAGAATGCCCATTTTAAGCTATTTAACCTTCAGCATGCTGCTGAGCAAGTGCCGGTGACTCCGGTTGAGACAGTTTACTCTTTTGTGTCGTTCTTATGATCCAATAAGATGACACATCTTATTCAATGCTACACGTTTGTGACTTCCAGGTAAACGGGAAATTGTGATGTGTTGAAAAAAATTTGCCAATTCAACAATTTAAATGAAGTTTTGATTGTTTTTAGTGGACAAAAGTGAATTAAATCAAACACAAATGGTGGCCAAATACAACCACAATGAAAATATGGAGGATATGGACTGTGATTTTGAGCTCTTAAGGCTTTTGGAAGCTGAAAATGGACATCTAAAATATTTCTTGAACTGAAAAGTTAACATTTAATTGCTGCAAACTCAGTTTTGGATTCTGACTGAACGTTGAGTCTTCTAATGGGCATAGCAATGGTTCACAGAATAGTATTCATAGTATATTATGCACAGTGTGGTTTATTTTTCAAAGAAATAAATGAAATACAATCTTCTTTTTGTGAAAATTTTACCGAGATTTATTCAGTTGTTATTGAGATATTTATCATTAAGTCCAGTATATCATTTTTTGCAAAATAAGTCAGTTTTGATGGATAAAGTGGCCAAAATAAGTCAGCATACAGAAGGTTAAATACCCAACCAACTCTGGTGGCATTTCTCCATGTTGCATATGCACACACAGAAATGCTTTGTTTCAGCCTGGTTCTGCTATTAATGTATGAAATTTTTTATAGATGTCACATATGTGTTGACTCTAATATAATTCCTTAGCCTATAATGTCTTCATAAATATACAAGGTGGGGAAAAATATCCATACTTTTTATTTTGCTGTAACTTGATAAAGTCTGTACAAAAGTACAAAAGTATTGATGGTGCACGTTTCAGATCACTATGAAACAGTTAATTGGGAAAAGTATTACCTGTGTTTGTATGTTTAGGGAGGGTCTACTTCCATCAAGTACAGGCTGTAATACAGGGCGGTATGGACTATATGGTGAACTATTATGGCCTGTCACTACTGCTGCCCATTCACCTTGGATACCTTTAAACAGTTGGTATAAATACAAAACTTTGGGAACTGGAATTGGACATTTAGGATCTTATAATTTCCAAAGCAGTGGTCAAATGACTGATTACCTTAAATTAAGGCCCATGCAATAAATTAACATAAAAAAACAACATTTGGGCTGAGCACCCATTCTCAACCAAAACTCTCACTATATTATTATAACTTTTATAGACATATAGTATCATAACATGATTACATTAGTCAGAACTATGGTCTACATATCTAAACTACAAAACACTAACTAAACTAAAAATACAAAAATATATAAAAACATATAAGGTAACAATAATAGTGTGGTGCACACACAATGCATTATGACCATGTTAAATTCTTAAATGAATGGTAAATGAATTTGCCAATATGTCTTTGCAAGGTTACATTTTTACTAGAGATAAGATTGACAAATAAATTTTCACTTTGTAAATCCAAGTTAGGTAAAATTTCACGGGCTTTTGTAAATAATATTTGCCTATTCTCATCATTTTTTGTACAAGTTAAAAAGAAGTGACATTCATCCTCTACATCTTTACAAATATTACATAATCTTTCCTCTATAGGTTTTGGTTTTGGCTTTGTATGTCTTCCAGTCTCAATTGCTAACTGATGAGAACTCATTCTAAATCTACTTGTAGCCAATCTATACTTTTTATTACTACAGACTACATTACTATAGACTTGCATACATCACTACATGTACTAAGTGCCATGGACAGAGAAGCATACTGAACATAAACTCCAAGAAAACAAGAATTCAATGCTGCTACAAAAAGAACTGTGAATGGGCTTTACCCTAAAACCCCAAAATACCATAATGAAATCATTTGACGGAAGTCAACATTTTGTCCCAACCCCCACATCATTCATCAGATGTTTTGTAAATCATTCAGAAAGTTCAGAGGATATCCCCAAAATTTAACCTCTCACGTCAGAAGTAATGTTTATGCACCTACCTTTTGGGGGTTCCCAGTTGGATTGGAGGGCGTTCTCTAGATTTCTAGTGCTCCATGCCCCTTGAAGGGCAGAACTACTGGTACTTCGTGACATTGACCATTGTGTATGTGTGTCTTTCTTCAAAGCCGTCTGGTCCTTAAGTGTCAAGGTCACTGCCTTCTGTTCTACTTGAGATCCTGAGCTAGTATTCAGTTTGAATGAGAGTTTCGTATTCCTGGGTTTCTTGACTTTGTCCTGCAAATGAAGTGAGTAAACAAGCAATTATTCTTTTGGGCATGGCGTAAAAGCAAGTCATAAGTTTTCATGAACATGAGCTCAATGTGACACTCTGCAATGAAAGGTGTCAGAACAGACATCTTTTTTACAATTCATGCATATTATGCATTTTTATTTTGCCTATTCATACATAGCAGATTTACCTCATATGCAACTATGCATTCTACCAGCATGCTTGGACTGATGCCCAGTTGCCACTTTTCCATAATATATGGAGGGTGGGCTATCTTGAACATGTCATAAGGTGGCACCTTAGATACAATGTTAATGTGTTTAATACATGTCACCACTTTCAGTTCATCAGCTTCATTCTCAGGGTCAACCTCCACATACATCTTCCACTTGTGAGTCTGGAAGAAAAATACAATCTAAAATAAAATATTTCTATGATCCCTTTCTCCCCTGAAAAAACTGAACTATGTGGAATGTTACAAAAATTAGTGAACATGTTCACAATGTTAAAATAAAAAGAGTTATGGTCTTTTACCAAATCATGGATATATTTATGGGCATATACATATTTGTATATCAATTTATTCACCTGCTCTTTTCAAACCTGCCTATGACATACCTCAGAAGATTTTCCTAATCTGATGTGACAGCCAATTAGAATATTGATGGCAACAGTCTCATTGACTGGTGATGGCACCCTATTTCTTGAATCTTTCTAAAATATACAAATATTATCTAGATATATAGAGAGAATATAAGATATTCTAAATGCCTGCAAAAGTATATGAGGAATATTTTTTAGGAAGGCCCCCACGAAACGCAGATGGAGCTCTTTGTACTATCATGGCTCAAGGCAAGTATAAAGGCAACATATGATGTGATTGAGATTCCTTTTTTCCAGGTGAAATCTACATTGGATTATCTTGTTTCAAATCCCTTTGGTTGAAACTCTACTCCTAACCAATAAGAACCTAAACAACAAACAAAGCATTACAACATCTGCAAGTATCCAAAATTATCACATGGCATTTGTACATGGTTAATTTATGAAATAGCAAATGTTAAACACATACCTTAACTAGAGGTGGAAAGTTTAGGAGTCTGTAATTGTGAGCCTTCAGTAGTTCAATCTCTGTCTAGAAACACAAACAAACAAAAGTTCTAAAAATTTAAAAGCTTAAAACATGTGTTAAAACATACGTTATAGGAATATCCTATGGTTTTGAAAAAATACCATTTGTATCCATGAGTGGATATTGATATCTTCATGAGTGAGCGTAGCGAATAAGTGAAGATATTTGTATCCAGGAGTGGATATAATTGATATTTTTGAAAAACCGTAGAATTGTCCATTTATCCCATGGGAAGTCATCATCTGCGAAAAAAGCTGAAAAATATAATTTGAGAAAAAATGTGAAAAAATAATTGAAAAAAATAGTGAAAGAATGTTGAAATTTTTCAAAAATATTTTTGAAAATAATTAAAAAATGTAAAAAGGATTTAAAAAAAAAAATTGAAACCATCGAAAATCACTTTTCAAAACATCGAATTTCACTTTTTAACACGTGATATTCGATAGTTTAAAAGTGATATTTGATGGTTTGTGAATTTTTTGCTAAAATATGATATCTTGATCCACATATCAAATATATCTTCAGTGATATTCGATCTATATCCTTGCAACCATGGGATAATATATTATATATAGATACTTATATCATATTATATTGGATTTTATTTTAATATATTTATTTTATGCTACATTACATTACATAATATCATATCAATCATTTATTGTATTATATTATATTAAATTGTATTATATTATATTATATTACTAGTATATTATATTATATTATATTACTGTACAGGGTGTCAAAAAACAACGGCACCCCCCTCTACAGCAAAAATTCCTGAATGTTCAATATTGAACAAATATTTCACTCTATTGAGGTGAATACCTGTACATCTTTCACAAGTGATATTCCACGAAGCCCGAAGGGCAAGTGGAATATCACCTTGTGAAAGTGCTACAGGTATTCACCGAAAATATTATATCACTGTCTAGCTAAACATCCCTAATATTATTAAGTCATAGGTTAACATTGAAATACATTGAATCTACTCGGTTCGTCTGCCATTTTGACTTACACTGAACTAAATTATTTACACTGAACGAAAACAAATTCTTTGAAAATTCCCGGGAGCGTGGGATATCGCTAGATATCTCACGGTTGTCTTATCTGATTAGCATTGCCATTGAATATCGCCAGATATCCCACGACATGTGACCCGGTTTTGACCAATCATACTGTCGCTAGCTAGATAGTGATATAATAACGTGTCATATCTCATTTGAAAGATAATTTAATTCTGGAGTTACTCCTCAAATTTCATTTAATAAAACTTTATATTAAAAAAGCTACATTGTTTTTAAGTTTGCTACTTCGGTACTTTGTTTGCTGCTCTGTTACTACTCGGGGTGGAAAATTTTCTAAGAGGCTCCGTTAAGGAAAAAATGACTTTTTGAGCTGGATGGAATTTCTGTGTATTTTCTATTCTATTAGGGTGTCCTGCATAAAGGATTTCGCCTGCGAAGCATATAACTCTTGCGAACATATCTTAATACTAGTCCAAAGAAGACATACCTTGAATTTTTTAGAAAAAATTGGCTAAAAATGGAAACTACAAGAAGTCAAAATGTTCAACTCAAACAAAGTTGTAGCTATTCTATATCAATATTTTGTGTTATGTAAGGTTTCTCAGATGTTTCAAGACCTTCATTAGTATACTTGTGTCTAGAAATGTGACATTTAAGGACAAAATTTGGCATTTTTAATCATTTTCGCTTTCAGCATTTACATATAGTTCCTTATATCTCAAGTTTAATGCTGACTGGTTGTTGCTTTTTTAATTAAATCTGTGCTTGTACATGTGTTCTTCCATTTAAGGTATAGAAAATGTATAGTGGACAACCAATGCTCGTATGAGAGCTTTCAGATCTCCCCTACCCCATTTATTATGGAAAATTACCGAAAAATATGAAAAAATAAAATAACTTGAAATTATAAACTTTAACAAAGTTGTAGCTATTCTATGTCACTATTATGTGTTATTTAATGTTTTTAAGATATTTCAGAACCTATATCAGTATACAAGTGGCTAGAAATGAGACATTTAAGGACAAAACGTGGCTTTTTCTTTTCATTTTCGCTTTCAGCAGCAATATATAGTTCCTCATATCTTGAGTTTTATGCTTTCTGTTTGTTGCATTTTCAATCAAATCTTTTCTTGTGCATGTCTTCTTCCATTTAAGGTATAGAAAATGTATAGTAGACAAACAATGTTCATATTAGAGCTTTCAGATCTCCCCTACCCTATCAATTATGGAAAATAAATGAGAAATATGAAAAAATAAAATAACTTGAAATTATAGACTTTCATAAAGTTGTAGCTATTCTATATCAATATTATGTGTTATTTAATATTTTTAATATTTTTCAGAACTGTTATTGGTATTCAAGTGACTAGAAATGAGACTTTAAGGACAAAACTTGGCATTTTTAATCAATGCTGCTTTCAGCAGTAACATATAGATCCTCATATCTTGAGTTTTATGCTGACTGGTTGATGCACTTTTGATTAAATCTGTTCTTGTACATGTCTTATTCCATTTAAGGTACTGAAAATGTATAGTGGACAAACAATGTTCATATTAGAGCTTTCAGATCTCCCCTACCCCATCTATTAGGGAAGATGACCGGAAAATATAAAAAATAACTTCAAACTACCAGTATAAACTTTAACAAAGATGTAGCCATTCTTTATGTGTTATTGAATGCTATAATTATTTTTTCAGGACCTTCATTGTATACTAGTGTCGAGAAATTAGATATTTAAGAACAAAATTTGTCATTTTTCATCCATTTTTCATCATTTCCACTTTTAATAATAACATATAGTTCCTTATATCTTGAGTTTTATGCTGATTGGTTGATGAATTCTTGATCAAATCTGTTCTTTTGCCTGCCTACTTTGATTTAAGGTATTTAAAAATGTATATTGGAAAGCCTGTCATTATATTAGAGCTTACATATCTTCCCTACCTCATTTATTTTAAAAATAACCAGAAATATAAAAACCAAACAATTTCAAAGTATAGACTTTAACAAAGTTGTCGCTATTCTAGTTCAATACTATTTTTCAGATATATCAGGAACTTCATGAGTATACAAGTCTAAAAATTAGACATTTAAAGTTGAGTTGCAAATGGGGCGGGTATTCTCTATCTTTGTCCATTGGGCTTTTCTGGTTATAATATGTTGCAAACTGCTCATGAATCTATGCAATTATAGTAGAACACTTGGAATATATTTAAAAGTAATGGGGTATAATACTGTGATAATTATAACCAGTGATCAAGCCACATTGGTTGAATTCCCTCATATCAATTGCAATGTTGTCAAAGGCTTGGTGATTTCCATATTACACCTAAGTGTGGTGTAATTAGGAAGTTCATGATGGATATTGGTTACTGTACAGGGTGTCCAGAAAATAAAGATACAAATGCTCTAATTTCAATAGATTTACCTGTTGTAAGATGAAATTGCTACAGATTATAGAATGACATTAGAACAATTAATCCTGCAACTGTCATGACAATTTGTTTCAAAATGAAAAAAGTTATGGCTGTTATGGTAACGGTAGTCCATGGTATGTGGAGCAGCGTCACAATTATGTTTTATAATTTTTTTCTCCTGCTCATATCATCTTGACACTCCATCATCTGTTGTATTATACATCAAATTATGTACCACAACAGCAAAAGAAGTAGTACTGTAACATTATTTGGTCATTTGACATTACTACTTTTATCCAGTATTATGTATTTCCCAACATTATCTAAACATTCATGGTGCATCTTGACCTGAGATTTAAGACCTGACAAAACCGCTGATGTCCATCTCTCAGATTACTGATAAAATAGGCTTCAAGCAGTCTCATTTTCTTGTTGAACTTCTAACAAATATTGCTTTAAGATTTTCATTAATGTAGGAGTCCAACGGGACCTTATCAGTGTAATATGGGCCATTGTACAAAAAGGTTTAATGTCAAGACATTCAATTGTAAGGTTTGTTTTCTTTGCTTTGTGAATTGGTGCATTCAGGAGGTGCACTATTGACTTTCCTGTTTATCCAGGGACCTTTTTTAAGCACTTAAATAATGTTTCTTTGATTATACTGGTTAGTGACTTTATATATTTTTATTTTGTAGTTATGATATGCATCAGTGATATCATTAGTCTAAAGAGAATACTATGGCAGCAAGAATCAATATTGAACTAAACAAAACATTGATAGGAAATACAATAATAAACACTGTTTCAAATGGTTAAATTCTAGCAATTTATGATAATTTAGCGATATCATGGAACTGCTCCGCATACCCCTGACCACCCCTGACCACCGTAACCATGACAATCGTAAATTTAACACGTTTATGTTATAAAAGTTGGTAGATGAATTGTAATATAGTTCCTCTATAATCTAAACCTAAATCTATTAAAATTAGAGTGTTTGTATCTTTACTTTCCGGACACCCTGTATCTCTATGGGATGAATTTCACTTATGGCAGAGCTGCTATTGAACTTTGCAAAACTGATGGTTGCAACAATCTATCAAATACTGATCATGAAGAAGTTGACACTCTCCTTATGGCCCATGTCTACTACAGTGCTGCAGACAAGATAAAGGAATTCAATGTTGAGAGAATTTGTATTCCGTCTGATGATACAGAATGTTGCTTGCAAAGAAGGATGAGAGTTAAAAAGAGCTCTTAAAGTTTCTTATGTCCTTCAAGGTAGCATTCTAAATTACTATTTGAATCTCAAAGTGCAATACCTATTTGAAGATATATCAAAGATGGGTGTCTTGTACCAGTACTCACAAACAAACCTTCGTAGCAACACAAGAAACATATGTCCTTGGCAATTCGCAAATGTAAAATGGCAAAAGGCAGGGAAAATTGCATATACAAAGTTTCTAGTCAAGGGTGTATTGCTACTTGTCCATGTGGCAATAAACAACATAGTGCACATTGTTGGAAAACATTTCAGGATGAGTTTCTCAGAACTAT